ATAGAAATCAATCTAAGATACTACACAATATACGAATTCTCAAAGAAATAAATAATCTTGATGGATTGCTTATTTCTTTGAGCATAGGTCTGATATTAAATTGGCATGGTATTATATACTAATATATTTACATTATCAAATTTAAAATGGTAACTTTCTTATAGGATAAGAATAGTTTCTATATATCGATGGTTAAGAGCACAAAGGGAATACGTCCACTAACCATTGTTTTGAGAAATCTGAATTTGAAAGTTTGAAAACATACAATAATTGATGATATTTATTTATTGTCATGATTTTTAACCAAATGCATTCCTTAATTAATTCTGTCTTGTTTTTTACTATTTTATTTTACATACTTTAATACCTAATTTTAATACCATTTCTTTTACATACTTTAATACCTAATTTGTTTGTTTACCTAATGTTTAATGTTGACATATTCCCTTTGTGCTCTTAACCATCGATATGATGAGAGTATCACAATTGTTAGGAAGTACAACATGACAAATAAACATTCTCATACAGTATGCTTACATTTATAGCTAATTTGGTTTAAATTTGGTGTTAATACATGTAATTGTACTTTTAATGATCATATACTAAAAATACAGACTTGTCAAGTCTCCCACATTTGGCGAAGTCTCTTGAATTTTAAAGAACGATCTCCCTTCCCCTTTACAAAAAATTTGAAAAACTCCCTTTTTTCTTTACTAGCAAGTTTCAACCAATTAGATTTCTACTTTTTTTCATTTTTAAATGGTATTTTAGTCTGATTTGTGTTTTTGCTTGTCTGATTTGTGTTCTAGTAGTATTCCTATCTGCCATGGAGAATGTATCAATGGGAACAAAAATAGGAATAATATATTGGATGCCCTAGGTGCACTTCTTATTTCAAAAACATATATTTATGATGATGGAAACATATAATATTTAAATATATTTAGTCATTCAAATTTGGAAGGCTCTTCTTTTTTTTTTTTAGACAAAAATATATAGTAGGCAAATACATCATGGTGGGTCAATATCATAAAGTCTTTCTCAAATCCATTTTTAAAACTTGACAGCTCTAAAAATATACTAGAGTAAGGGAAAACTATTCCAAAATTTATGCCAAAAAAAAATGCTTAAAAGAAACAGAAAAACACAAAAAAAAAAAACCAACAACAAAATACGTTTTTGTGCAACTCTCTCCTCTCTCTCTCTTTATATATATATATATATATATATATATATATATATATATATATATATATATATATATATATATATATATATATATATATATATATATATATATATATATATATATATATTTATGTATTTATATATATGTATATATATATATATATATATATATATATTTATGTATTTATATATATGTATATATATATATATATATATATATATATATATATATATATATATATATATATATATATATATATATATATATATATATATATATATATATATGAAAGTGTCTGAGGTCGGCAAAAAATTGCTGACCTCTTTTCTAAGTTTTATGATAAGACCTTTGTATCAAATAATTTCTGTCAACCTGATAATAACCTCTAAAAGTTTGAGGTGGGCAAAATATTGCCAACCTCATTTTTCCTAATTCTGAGGATTGTGTATATATATATATATATATATATATATATATATATATATATATATATATATATATATATATATATATATATATATATATATTATATATATATATATATATAAAGATACAGAGAATATCATTTATATATATATATATATATATATATATATATATATATATATATATATATATATATATATATATATATATATATATATATATATAAAGATACAGAGAATATCATTTATATGTGCCACAAAAACTGTGCACTTTTGATGTTCTTGATGAGAAATATGCTATTATTACTGCTCCTAAAATCAAAACATTTTCTTATAGGGAGGCACTGCTGTAGATGCAGTTGAAGCAGCTGTCAATCAATTGGAAAATAATTCTGCTTTTAATGCTGGGCATGGATCTGTTCTCACTGCAGCTGGTACAGTAGAAATGGATGCAATAATTGTTGATGGCAAATTGCTAAAAACAGGTGATGTATTTATATAATTAAAGGTCTTAGGAGGTCTTAACATATTTCTTGCATTTTGGCTCTTCATTGGTAAAAGCAAGAAATGGTATCTTAGGCAAGACTATAGGAGTAAGCATAACATTTTGGGACCAGTCTTGCACCACTTCTTTATCTAACGAGCGCAGTTGTGAATTTAGGATGATTAACACTTGATTATTTTGACTCTTTTTAAATTTTTGCTTATTTCTCCTTATTAGTTGCAATGCGATTTATTTTTGTTATCTCCTAATAAGGGTACAGCTCTAAAGTTCAGTTTAATAGTTCTGAGGTCAGCTGGTATTAAGGTTTTCTGATCTCTATTTAGCTTTTAGAGACTGTAATTCATTTTCCATACAATCTTAATTACTTACCCAGGTAGAATACTAGATTTAATATTTTATCTGAGAAGTTAGGTTCTTGAGACTTTCCGCAGATTACAGATTTTTGATAAAGCCTGTGAGTTTGGCAAGTATTTAAACTATAATAATAATAGACTGGCCTCCTCCATAAGCTTGCTTTACATGGTGTATCGTTAGTGTTTTAAAAGTTTTTAAAATTATTGAATTATTACTTTTTAAGTACACAGTATTAAAGTTATCCTTTGTAGACAACACTCTCCTTTATGTAATAAAAATTCTGGGTAACTACTTGGGCCTGCATTACTCTTTATCTAAATCAAGGAACTTCAAATATAATAAATTCTCAACAAAAAATCATCGCCTTTTAATTGCTCGGAGGCAGCCAATCTAGAATCTGATCTCTTTTCTGTGACAGCTCAGTGCTTGCAGTAGCTGATGAATTTTAACCCAAAGAGAATCTAGTTTTGTGGTGCTAATATCTCAATATTGTTAATATTCATAAATGGCAACAATTTTTCTAAATACTTTACTTTTTTCATATTCAGTTTTGACATTTTTAGAGTTGTGTTAATTTAAAAGTTTTGTTTTTTAAAGCTGGTGCTTCTAGCAGCCATTTTTTAAAATATTCAGCAACTACCATTTTTAAATTCTGCTATGAAGTATATAATTATAATTATATACTTTAGAATGGTAGTTGGTAAGTATTTTGGAAATGGCTGCTAAAAGCACCAACTTTTAAAATAAAATTTTAAACAGCAGGTGAAGAGAAATGTTGTATGTTTCTTGAGAGACTACAGTTTCACCAATCTTTACGAGTTCCACACTAACCTTTATGATTTGTTAATCTCTCCAAACTAACGGTGGTTCAATTTAGAGATAGATCAATAATAGTCTAGTATTTTTATATACCAGACTTTTATATTTAATTCAATTGATTTCCCATTCATTATAACAACCTTTTTTCTTACTGGGTTTTATATTTACGGCGTTGTAACTTAAATAGATTTAAATCATCTAGTGTCTAATAATGCAATTTTCTTCCATTCACGCATACACAAAGAGTTGGAAGTTTTTAATTGGGAAGCCACAAAAATTCTTGTTAACTCTTTTCTTTCTGTTCCAAACCCCCAAATTAAAGAGAGGTTGCTTGCAACCTTTGTTGAGGAAAGTTTAATAATAAGTGAAAAAAACACCTCAGAGAATTACAAATGTGATCTTGTATATAAATAAATTATAATAAATAATTTGAAAATTACCTAATATATTTAAAAGACTTAATATATAAAATATAGTATAAATATGCAAATAACAATTTTATTGAAATTTGAAAGTATTTTTTTCTAGGTGCTGTTGGATGTGTTGAGAATATTGCAAATCCTGTTTCGTTGGCTCGCCAAGTAATGGAAAAAACAAGTCACTGTTTGTTGGTTGGAGCAGGTGCAATGAAGTTTGCTAAAGATCTCAATTTTGAACTTCTAAGTACCCAAGAACTTATTACAAAAGACTCTGTCTGCAAAAGTTTCTGTATGGGTGAAGGTGGAAGTTTTCTCAAAAAAATTTTTTTTAACTTTTCTGTTTTTTGTTTGTTTGAAAAAAAAAAGTTTTTAGACAAGAAAATTCAGGTAAATGATGTGGCACTAGGTCTAAATAACTTGTTCATCTGTGTTCATAAAACATAGTTTTTTCCCTTTTTACAGTTGCATTTGTGAAGAATATAAATAATATACCTTTATTTATTAGTATTAGTATGCAAATATACCTTTTTTTCAGTCAAATATTTATCAATTTGTATTATTTAAGTAACTTTAGTATATATGTCTATCAACCCTTGGAATTAGGAAAACTGATGTCAGCAATAAATTGCGGACCTCAAACTGTAAGAGGTCGGCAAAAAAAAAAATTTGACACAAAGGGGTATAAAAACATTAAAACGAGTTTGTTCCCTTAAAAGAAGTAATTAGATAATTAACTAATTAATAACTATCAAGTAACTAGATCCAACTTTAAGTTTTTCTACATTATGAAAACTGAGAATTTTAAATGAATAATTAAGTCTCAACTCAAAATAGAAAAAAAACTTTGACAAAATTAAAAAGATAATTGGTATACAACATTAAATCCTGTATCAACCTGTGATAATATAATAGTTGATATTTCTGCACAATCTACCAAATCAAATTACCTTACATGATTTTTTTAGGAACATTTGACAAACATATTGAGCTGTATATGAATAAAATAATAAAAGCAAACGATATCAATGACCTTGAAGCATGCTTCAAAGAAATGATGAAAAAAGAAAAATTATCAGAATCCGGGCATGATACTGTGGGAGCTGTTGCAATTGACATTAAAGGAAATATTGCATGTGCTACATCTACAGGTAATAGAAAATAATCTAAAAAACTATTGGAGACAATGCTATGGTCTTATTTAAGGTCATGGGTGGTATTCTGCTGTCAATTGAAAGCATGTTACATTTTTCTCATAAATTCTGATGGATTTCAATATAGGTAACCCTATTTCAGCACTTTTTAAAATTTGTATTCCAGATTATTAGTGTGCTAAATATTAAAATGAGTTTTTCTTATATAAAAGTATGCTATGAGTATTTTCTTATATGGAAGTTATGAAGTTTTTATTTATTCTTTCTTTTGATTTGTAACATGTTTTGTTGATTGACAGCAATATTTCTCAAATGACAATTAACAAATAATGTACTCAGTAGGTTCCTACTTGGTGCATATAGTTATTATATGTAGTTGTTATATAACAGAAACGTTTTTTGATAGCAATTTATTTAGAATAATTTAATAAATCAAATAATTAAAAAATATTTTAATCAAATAGTAATTTATTCAAATCTTAATAGTAATTTAATTAGTAATTAAGTTAATTACACCATTTCTGCAGAAGATTGTAAAAATTAAAGAACAATAAAAAATATATTTTTAAGGTTTTTTTTTTATGTTCTTTAATGTTTACAGTCTTCTGCAGAAATAAATTTCAAGTCATAAGCCATGGCAGCATATTTTTGAATTAGGTTATAAAAAATAAGTTTTTAGTTATTATCTTTTAATTTTTTTTTCATGGTCTTATTGAATGCGAATAAATAACTTAATGTTTAGTGCATGCACAATGTCACTTTTTAAACAATTAACTTTTTTTTAATAAATGATTTTTTTTAATATGTTAGGAGGTATGCCAGGTAAAATGTTGGGTAGAGTTGGGGATAGTCCAATATTTGGAAGTGGAGCTTATGCAAACACAGAAGGAGGATGTTCTTCTACTGGTCATGGAGAATCTTTAATGAAAACAATTGTTTGTAGAGAAGTATACTTTTGATCTGTTTCATTTAGTATATCATTTTTTTATGTTTTGTATTGTGTGACGTTTATTATATTTTGTTTTGCCCAAGTTTTATACTCTCTATTTTGTACTACTGAAGTATTTTGAATTTAAAAAATTATATTGCTACATCAAAATTACAAAAAATAAAAATAAAAACCAATTATGTTCAAAAACATCATTTTGTTATTGGTAAAAACCCTTATTTCAAAGGAATTGACAAAAATGTTTATAGTTTAAAATAATTAACAACAAAATTGTGTCAAATGCTACAATATATTATATAGATTAACTTAAATGAAAATGTGTCAAACACTACAATACATTACATAGATTAACTGAAATGAAAATGTGTCAAACACGACAATACATTACATAGATTAACTGAAATAAAAATGCTTGATAGTGTTGATAAAATAATACTGTAAAAATTTTGTTTTTCCATCTGCTATAAATTTGATGTATTTACTAAAAATATATATATAAAGTATTTTTTGCGTGTGTGTGTTACTCCTGTAAATTTTAGATAACGCATGTTGCTGTTTTATGTAGGCTGTTCGTTACTTAGAAGACGGGTTTACTGCCATGGAAGCATCAGAAAAAGCAATATCTCTTGTTTTGCAGCAAACTGGTGGTCGTGGGGGTATTATTTTGATTGACAAAAAAGGAAATGTGGGATATGCCTTCAACACAGGATGTATGGCTTGGGCAAGTTTCTCTTCAAAATGTTTTGCTCACGGTTTGAGAACTGGGGAACATTTTGTAGAACCTATGTGATACTTTTTTTGCAATATTAATTCAATATAATTTTGTTTGATTTTTATCAACTTATTAGTTTGATGTCAGCAAATCAGTTTGATGTCAGCAAAGTGAAGCCATCAGTTTGATGAATAAGTACAAGAAAATTTCAGTAATTTATACTTTTATTATTTAGCGCTATGAATATTTGTAACAATATTCATAACAGTTATAAAAGTAAATACCTCATAAAAGCATATACATAAAGTTATATATATATATATATATATATATATATATATATATATATATATATATATATATATATATATATATATATATACACTTACTAAAGCGTGTTTTGAAAAGCATTTGCTCACTTTTTCTGCTTACCTTAAGCTATACCACTTCTTTCGAAAAAGAAAAAGAAAAAACGAAGAATGATGAATGAAACGATTACTTCCCCATCCCAAACCCTCAGTCGATGTAGCAGCACTCCACTGCGAGTCAGGCTATTTGTCAGTCGATGTATGTACGATGTATGTAAGCCCCCATTAGCAAGCTATTTCAGTATGACGTCAGATTGCTTACCTTAGTACACAATACTATTTGTATATATATATATATATATATATATATATATATATATATATATATATATATATATATATATATATATATATATATATATATATATAATGAAAAAAAATCATTATTTTAAGGATTGCATCAAAAAAATGAGTTGTGCATTAGAATATTTGAATTTTTTTTTCAAATGTTTTATCAAGTATTGTTTTAAGAATTTATTAACTTATTTATTGGTTAATTAATTGCTTTTCAAACCTATTGAGTTTTCACAGTCGATCTAATGATGAATAAAGTAAATTGCAAAAAAAAACAAAAAAAAATTGCACAGTTCAACAATCTGATAAAAAATCTGATCAAATCGATAATTTAATGAAAATTAGTATCGAGTGGGCCTACTTTAGCCTTGATGGCCTCAGCTAGACAGTTTGGCATTGAGTTGACCAAGTTTTGGGTCTCTTTTGTTGTTATATTATCCCATGTACTCATTCTAACTTTTTTCAAGTTGTTTTTACATCTAAATGCTTGGTTGCCAATTTTTATGCCTTAAATATACCATAAATTTTCTATAAGATTCAAGTCCAGACTTGAGATGGCCATACCAAAACATGGATGTTTTGTCCAAGTATACCAAAACATGGATGTTTTGTCAAAGTATACCTTCGTTTTCTTAACTGTATGCTTTGGATCATTATCATGCAAGAGTATGAAGTCATTTCCCATTCTCAATTTTTTAGTAGATGGTCGCAAGTTGGCTTTGAGAATTTCACAATACATTGAAACATCCATTTTTTCATCAATAAATGTTAATTTCCCCACTCCATTCCAACTCATACTACCCTAAATCATCACATTTTCTCCTCCAATCTTCTCCTTTTTTTCGCCACACTTTCTGGATTCTATTCGATGAGACGAGGTTGTATTTTGACTCATCTGACCACAAATTTTTTTCCAATATGATATTGGCATTGTTTCATACTTCTTTGCAAATTCCAATCAGCGTTTCATTTGTTTTGCAGTTAAAAAAGGTACTTTTGGAACTACTATACCTCTTTATCCTTGTTCTCTAATATAATTTCTGGTTGTTTGAGGAGTTACTGTGATGTTGTGATCTTCTTGAACTTTTAAAACTAATCTATCTGCTGAAACAAATCTATTTTTCTTCACATTAATGATGATATTTCAATCAATTGCACTGGTGGTCTTGCGTTTTCATCCTCTGCCAGCCACACTAGCCACAGTTTCAATCAGGTTTTGTTTCTTAACAATTGAGGATGCTGTTATTAAAGGAATTCCTGTTTCTTTTTGGATTTGATGGTAGAAATTTTTCAAATCAACTATAAGGCTTTGCTGATAGAAAGACAAATGTTGTTTTCTTGACGCCACTCTGCTATACACTATATTTTATTTTATTTCTAAGACAAAATTGTATTTAAAAAATTGCTATTATATATTATACAAATCTATAGTTTGTGTGTGTGTATATATATATATATATTTTACAAATCTATAGTTTGTGTGTGTGTGTATATATATATATTTTTCAAAAAAGGATGAAGAAAATCAAGACTGCTACTTTTTTGAAATACTTTTGTAATGAAGAATCAATTTTTTTTTTGCTCAACTTAACAATCTCAATCAACAATAAGATTGTTGGTGATGAAGCTATTTGAAAACTACAATCAGTAATCGAAATGAGTCCAATAATCTTTTAATTGATGTTGATTTTACTATACAATCTCTTGCCTAAGTTTGAACATGCCCTGACTGTGAGATGAAGAAGTCTATTTACTTTAATAGAGATCATAAAAATAAAATGGTTAAATTTCTTGCTGCTCTTCAATTGCACTCAGTGTTTATGGAATATGAAGTGTCCTATACTAGTAAAAAAGTTTCAAATAAAACTTTTGATGATTTTTTTATATAAATCTATATTTAGTAATTACAATGCATGAAATTGGAAAGGGACACTACATAAGCTGTGGTTTTGTGAATTTGAGGTCTCATTTTCAAAAGTAAGACAGTCAATGTGTTGTGAAACTATTAACACCTGGTGCAAATTCCAAGCAGACAATATTGTTAAAACATATATGTATAAAGAAAAACCAGGACCAGCCTGTTGTAATTACGGACATAATCAAGCCAATATTTATTGATTTATTTTATGAAATCATGTTAGAAAGGTGCCTTCATCAAAAACTCGAAACAATAAAAATTCTTAAATACAAAAATTTGGGAATTGTGTCCCAACGATATGGTATACTAAGTGTTTATTTAGAACTAATAATCCTGGTAATATATATATATATATATATATATATATATATATATATATATATATATATATATATATATATATATATATATATATATATATATTCAGATTTGTTATAACTTGTTTTTAAAAATACGTAACTCATAAATTTAATACCAATTCTAGTTTATGCTTATGTTTATTATTTAATTATGTTTGTACCATTTTTATATATCACAATTAGAAACTTTTTTTAAATATTAGAGATGTGATTTTCAAAATTATTTATAATTTAGTTTTTTAATCAAATGTTTATCAAAAAAAATTCAATTTTTTTAAATAATTACCCAAAATTATTTATAAAACTCTACTATACAATTATATTTAAAAACTATTTTTTATAGTAAATGAGAGCAAAAAGATTAAAAGACTTTGTTAAAAACATTTTGTTTTTAACAAAGTAGGTAGCTAAAAAGTTGCTGCCAAAAGTTATCCCGCTTGATCATTTTCCAAGACCAATTTAGATCAATATTAGGAATTTAAATGTTGATTTCATATATTTAAAGTTTATTTTATTTAGGTTCAGAGTTATTTTGGTAAACAATGTATATTTTATTGTCTTGCTCGCAATAATTTTTTTTTTACGTAAATATAAGTTACACCATAATGTTCAGAATGTTTTATAATTAGGTTATCAGAGCATGTGTTTAATTACGCAAATACAACTTTGGGAGATAATAAGTCGGCATTTTTAATGTTTATATTCAATTATCTATCTGATATATATATATATATATATATATATATATATATATATATATATATATATATATATATATATATATATATATATATATATATATATATATATATATATATATATATATATATACAGAGACAAATCTAGGAATAAAATGAGGGGGGGGGGGCGAATCCATGAAATGTACTAACTGCTTACTCAAAACTAACATTCACCCGTCTGAAATGTGTCAAATACTCGACTAGCCTCGACTCAAAAAATTCCTCAAAAAACTTACTCTTACTTGAAAATCGCTTAAAGAAAATCATTAAAGATAATCATTAAAATTAATCATGTTTTAAAATTTAAAATTTGAAAAAACAAGATAAATATTAACAAAAAAAATTACTAAATTTAAAAACTTAAACAAAAAAAATTACAAGATTACAAATTACCTTTTGTTCTGCTAAACGTTACCAAATGCAAAACAGTTTGCTTTCTTTTTTTAATTAATTTCTAGAAGAATAAAAAAATCATATTCTTAAGAATGCAAAGCATGGCCTGTTTACGAATTCGTTATAATTTTATTAATTAGCTAGTTATTTGTTAGATGTTTCCTTCGTTTAATTGTTCTGTTTATTGTAAATTTTAAGAATAAAAGATTATATTCTTCCAAATTGGTTCTGTGATCCCAAAATTCATTAAAACGTTTCTAGCAAGTTTTTGGCGTTTTAAATTTATAAAATCGCTAACGAGCGTTAGTATTTTGTTAGAAGGGGGATTCCAATTTAATTTTATTGTTACAATCTTCTCTCAAAAAAACGTGTTTATATTAGCTTTTTTGTCTAAAGTTTAAAAATGCGTCGAATCGAAGAAAATAGCGTCCAATTTATTTTCGCAAGGCAAGCAAACGCCATATGTTGGACCTGCCAGAAAAGGGTATCAACGTTTTTTTGTTTTCATTTGAACAAATAATGGATTTTTATAACTTAACAGTAATTAACTTTTAAAATTAATTTCTAATCTGAAATGGTTTTAAAATTTTTATCAATTCATACAGAAAATGTCTTACAATTAATAGTTTTATTTAATACAAAAAAACAAACTCTTAAGTAATTTTATTTTATAAAGATATTTTATAAAGATCCATCAGCATAATTTTCACTATGACTAGCGTCCCAAACACGCCACGTTTCAATTTTTCTCATAATTGAATCTTTTATTTTAAATTTCAATTCCTTAGTGTCTTATAAAAGCGTAGTTATTAAAATATCATAGAAAGTTTTTTTTTAAAAAAAAAGTTATTTATGTTTCGTATTTAAAATACCAAGTAACGTTCATCGTATTAAAAATATCAAGTAACATTCATCAAATAAAAAAGTTAGATAAGGAACATGCGAATCTCATTCTAAAACATAATTTATCAATAAATACAAAGATTGAATTACTAATGGTCCACAGAAACCCACGACGAACTTACTATGTAATACTATACGATACGACGTTATTTATTTTTCGTATTATGTTAGTAATTGTGTATGTTGTTGTGTTTGTTGGTAATTGTAGTATGTTGTTCATTATGTTGGCAATAGTGCTTTGATTAAGGAAGAGTCACACGAAGATAAAGTTTTATTCTGCTTCAGACCAAAATGATAATTCATTGCCTTTAAATTGTAAGGAAGTTACAAAAACTAGCGGGATACCAATCTGATCCTGGTTGGAAGAGGACTTTCAAACTTCATGGTAGACATACAGAAATGTAATTTTAAGCTAAACTGCTTTTAATTCAAGTTCTATAAAATATATATATATATATATATATATATATATATATATATATATATATATATATATCATCATATATATATAACTATAAAATTTGTCATTGAATATAGCACTACTGCTTTATTTTCTTGATATACTGTCTAAAGAGTAGCACAGCGAGTGTCAATGCCGAGAAACGCAAAGTCATGAATGTCTCACGTAGTAAAAAGAAATAAAGCCACATGGCTTCAGTATAAACTGTCAAACGAAATTCCCCATTAATCCATACTGTGGTATCTGTAAGTCAATAGCCGTATAAAATCACTTTATAATACGTATGTAAATTCATAGGGAATTTGCATAAGATTTATGCAGTACAAACCCACGCAATAACTAACATACGGGACACGTTTGGAAACTGTATAGTATTACATAGTAAGTTCGTCGTGGGTTTCTGCGGACCATTAGTAATTCAATCTTTGTATTTATTAGTAAATTATGTTTTAGAATGAGATTCGCATGTTCCTTATCTAACTTTTTTTATTTGATGAACGTTACTTGAATGAACTGTGTTTAAAATGTCAGCTAATGAACAAAGTGTCGTTACAAATAAGGGCTCAGGTATTTCATTTCTTATTAATGTGGTCTTTATGCAAGAATTTCATTCTTTCTACTGATATCAACTCAATAGTGTCTCTTAAATTTTAATCTAGATCCTAAAAATTAACAAAGAATTGTCATTCTATCTCGTTTCACATTGGATTTTTAAGAATTTCCTTATATATTTAAGTCTGTTTTTTCGCTTTGGTGAACCTTTAAAACATGATATACCTTTTTAATGTCATTGCGCAAAGCTTATTTGTTTCTGCTTTACTTGCAAACAATTAAAAATTGATAAGTTTGAATGGATATAACACAAACTTTTTTTTTGCGTTTGTTTAGATCTTTTGTAATAGTCAGAACGCTACATGTAAAAAAAGGAAAACTAAACATTTTGTTTGAACATTTTTATAATTTAGTTTCAGGTTATAATTTTATTTTAAGTCAAAAAATAGTAGAAACTAAGCATGAGATTTC